GCTACGACATCGCTTTACTTCCGCAATGTAAATTTGTTATGATCACGATCATTCGGAAAAACTTCGGGTTCTACCGGCATTACCATGCAGCATTCGGATTGGTTAATGGCGTTTTTGACCCACCGGGTCAAAGGACACATGCGTCAACTAACGCGTCACAGCTATCATGGCGGGTCTGTGTTTTTCACGAAGTGATCGAGTGATCAAAAATAATTTTTCTCGATAAAACTAGTTCAAATTTTACGTTTTTTTCATATAAAAAAAGAAGTATTTAATTTTTGCATGGCATCATGACTGAGTAAGAGAAATTATTGGTATAACCGGTGTATAACATCGCTAAGTAAGTTATGTCACGTCGTAACTTTGATGATTGTTTGGAAGTGTTATTTCTTCGTTCATTTACTGTAAATGTGAAATGCCCAAAATAAAAGTGTTTATAACACTGTGTAAAGCAAATAAATATCTGCCACTTTGTTTTTGAAAATATATGTTGTTTATTGTGTGGGTGTAAATGCGCTTTGGTCAATTTCTATTATTATGTAAATGATATGCAAATTAGGCCGCCACAGTGGTTTAAATTCCTGGGGAGAACACTGCACATCAACCTTTTCGACCCCACAATTGCTAATTATGGGTAAGTTTTCACATCAACCTTTTCGACCCCACAATTGCCAAGTATGGGCAAGTTTTCACATCAACCTTTTCGATCCCACAATTACCAAGTATGGGTAAGTTTTCACATCAACCTTTTCGACCCCACAATTGCCAAGTATGGGTAAGTTTTCACATCAACCTTTTCGACCCCACAATTGCCAAGTATGGGTAAGTTTTCACATCAACCTTTTCGACCCCACAATTGCCAAGTATGGGTAAGTTTTCACATCAACCTTTTCGACCCCCCACAATTGCCAAGTATGGGTAAGTTTATGTCAACCTTTTTGACCCCACAATTGCCAAGTATGGGTAAGTTTTCACATCAACCTTTTCGACCCCACAATTGCCAAGTATGGGTAAGTTTTCACATCAACCTTTTCGACCCCACAATTGCCAAGTATGGGTAAGTTTTCACATCAACCTTTTCGATCCCACAATTGCCAAGTATGGGCAAGTTTTCACATCAACCTTTTCGATCCCACAATTACCAAGTATGGGTAAGTTTTCACATCAACCTTTTCGACCCCACAATTGCCAAGTATGGGTAAGTTTTCACATCAGTGTTCTCCCCAGGATGTAAACAGCGTGGCAGTCCCGCCACAGTGCTTCGATTTGCCGCCACACCGGTCTGACACCGCCACGGTGATTAGCAAGACCGCCACAGTGCTTTTTTCATTGGGGATCTCGTCACGCTGGTCGGCCCGACCGGCACTCAAAATTAGCGACCACCACGGAAACGCGTCCGACTATTGTCATATTGTTATTATACTTACGTACCGACCGACAAGCATCCTGCCAGTCGTGGATAATAATTTGTAAACAATAGACATAGTCGTGCGATGTGGTATCGGCTTTAAACAGTACAAGTCAATTTTGTAAAATTAGCACCTCTTTGTAAGTAA